AAATATTGTTTGATATGAGGTGCTGCAGCTAAGATGTGAAAATTCAAATACACATCTTAATAATTTGTTTATCCCAGGAAACAGATGTTTTTCTTGGGCCCTTTAAATAAAAAGGTGTATTAAATTGGTGATAGTGTTACAATCACTGGCAGTCTCTTCTTGAACCTGTAAGTTCTCTTGTGCCTATATCATTTTACAACCATTTTCTAGAAAATTCTGTTTCTATTCTCAGAGTCACTAAGTATTGATTGATGTGAAGAAGCATTACTTTCAGTAACATGAGTGGTGGTATTTGTTTCAATGGAAGTGGGATGAGATTTGTTTGCTTAATTATTACATTTACAAATATTTTATATATGTAAATATGTCTTATATAAAAATTAGTCATAATCTTACAACTAGGAGATAACTCTTATTAACATACTGTGTGTTAACAATGTGGTAACTGCTTCCATGTCCCCTCCTGGTCTTTTTAACTTTTTTAGTTCTCTAACATTTGCTTAATTCCTTGTATTAATTACTGTACGCTGAAGTAACAGGTGTGGTTACTACTTTGCCAAGTGCACAGTGACTGAAACCATCAAAGCTTCTGTTTCAGGTGTGACCAAGGAGAGCTATGGGAAATTGGTTGGAATTTACTGGACTTCTAGCTGGTATGAGATGTCCCTGGATTCAATCACTCATCACTCTGCTATTCAACCTACATGAAAATATTCATATGGCCTTGTGCCTCTTAAGCAATGAATTTAAGGCCAGTAGCACTGGTGAAGAAAATGGGAAAGCAGTGGTTTCAGTTCTGTTGCTGGTTTCATTATTTTGTTGCTGATGGAAGGCTGCCAAGGTACTGTTTACTGGCATCAATTAAAATCACCGTTCAAAAGCCAAAATCAAGACAGTCACATTTAAAACACAACTTCTGACTGCCTAACTTTTATTAAATAGTCGCAATAAGGTGTGATGATGAAACTTCACCTCAGGTCAAAGTGCCTTATTTTTTTTTTTTTTAAATTACTTTTGGTATCTTGAAAGAGTTTTTCAAAGTTAGGTTAGACATGCTTTTTCTAACACTTAAGCAAGAAACCCTCCCAAACCCACAACACAATACTGACTTATGTACAGAAAGAAAGTATTGCTTAATGTTGAGTGTAAGCTCTGAATCATCCTGCCTGGGTTTATCTGTTGTTTCCTGTGTAATCAGATGCTAACTCAGATTCCCCATCTGAAAAACAAGGATTAAAATAGTCCTACTTTCATCATGATCAAGTGGGATTTATCATCCCAGGAATGCAGAGATGGTTGAACATATGCAAATCAATGTGATACAGCATATCAACAGAATGGACAAAAACCATACGAAAATTTCAATTGATGCTAAAAAAAAAAATCAATAAAATTCAACACTCTTTCATGATAAAAACTCTCAAAAAACTGGGTATAGAAAGAATTTACATCAACATGATAAAAGCCATATATGACAGACTCACAGCTAGTATCATAGTGAGCAGGAAAACCTGAAAGCCTTTTCTCTAAGATTTGGGACAAGACAAGGATGTCCACTCTCACCATTGTTATTCAATACAGCTCTGGAAGTTCCATGAAGAACAATCAGACAAGACAAAAAAGGGCATCCTAATTGGAAAGGAAGAAATCAAATTATCCTTATTTGCGGATGACATGACCTTATATCAAGAGAAACCTAAAGACTTCACAAAAACACTATTAGACCTGATAAAAGAATTGAGTAAAGTTGCAGTATGCAAAATCCAACATAAAAAATCAGTAGCATTTCTATACGTTGATAGTAAACAATATGAAAGAGAAACTATGAAAGTAATGCCATTTGTAATAGCTACAGATAAAGTAAAATTCCTGGGAATAAACTTAACTAAAGTAATGAAAGATCTCTATGTAGGAAAACTATAAAACACTGATTAAAGAAGTGAAGAGCATGCAAAAATTGAAATATATGCCATGCTTATGGATT